AAGTAATCAATTCTCATTACATGAACTAATCCATGCCTCAACAAACTGAAAAACACAATACAGAGAGTACAGTATACGGCGTGTCGCTCTACTACAGATATGCAATTAGAAGAAGGGTCTCTACCAACAATCTTTTCAGATCAGCCCTGTTAAAATGTCCTTTGACTGGTTCACGTCAAGATGGCTGCCGCAGAATATGCGAAACGGTGAGATAAGGTTGTCATGGTACTCTGTTTGACTCAGCTTGCGGCCCTATTACTATCAAAGCTGCCAGAAGATGACGGCATAATTATGTTAGAGAGCTGATCTGAGGCAGCGTTACAGTGATTTGTCAAATGATTCAGAGCAGCTCCTTCCTCTATAACAGGATGCATGACTAGGCAAGTCCCCGATTTAAGAGACCTGCTTCTTCAGCATCCATATGTAATGAGGAGTAGGAATACTTGTCTGTCTGGAGCCTTACAGCAACATAACACTTTGATTATGAGGTGTTCCACTGTACCCTCTCTCTCTATCTCTCTAGCTTTAGCTTCAACTAAGCCTATCAATAAATCATCAACAATCTTCTGCTATTATATTATCTTATGGTAATAGCATTTGACAGATATGTAATGGCTTTCACCCAACACACACACAGTGCTAGCCAGTAGAGCCATTAGGTCACGGTGAGCAAAGACTCACAATAGTAACCAGTGAGAGGCAGTTTGCAGGAGGCTCTGTGACACAGTCAGCATGAATATTAATCCTGCCTCCCTCTCAAACATAGAGATGGAGACAGAGAAAGAGACAGAGCGGGAGAGAAGTGCTCACAGGCATTGTTAAGAGGTCTCTGCTAGCCGCTAACACGTCACTCATCAGTGACTCTGGGGGCTTTATATGCTCTCCGGGTCCTCGCAGAAGACCGAGCAGCGAGTGCCACTTTTAGCTGAATGAATGAGGCCCAGTCATTACAATGTGGGCTCGCTGGGGAGTTCATGCAAGCGAGCAGAGACACATTTTCAAAAAGTTTTGGAAAATGGAAAGTATAGTGCAACACTCAGCGACCACGATAAGCTTCGAGTTTCGACAAGCTTAATACAATGCATTTATCTTTTCACATTGAATATCTTGTTTTTTTTATTGCTCTTGCTTTAGGTCTTAAATCTCCCACTAAATGGCTTTTGAAACACGTAAAAAAACCCAAACACTTTGGAGTCAAAGCAGCAGAGGGCACTTGGAGGGCAAAGCATTTCTGCTGCAGAGGAAGAGGAAGATAAATCAGGGATTTGATGAAACCAAAATTGGCCGGAGCAGTCGTGGGAGATTAATACCTGCTCACCTGTGTCCATTCTGAGAGCTCATTAGGCAAGCTGGAAGATATGGAATTATAACTTACTTACATTATGTCATCATCTGGAGTTGCTGGTAGAGGGTTATGGTAAATACTTCAAAAGGAAGGAAGGTGTGCAGATGGGACACTGAGAAGTCCTAAAACTAGGAAATGATAACAGTGCAAAGAAATCTTGCTTTGACCCAGATTGTTGCTCTTGACGTCCTAAAAACCAACCAGAATTTATAGTGAAAGAAGTAGGGTGGCTTGTGTTTCATCACAAAATGAACAGAATTTGTAATGTGTACATACTTTTTGAGCAGATCACAAACTAAATTTTACTTCTTTATGTCTGAAATCCTTATTATTGCAAAAGAGACATGTTACATTTGTCAAATTAATCAAAGTGGAAAAACAAAACAAAATAAGGACACAACTGTTTATTCAAGGTCGACATGCTCAGCGTGTATGCCAAAAATAACATGTACCGCCACCTCAAAACGCATTTCAAAAAGATCAATCTACAATATGACAAACGGGCTTTGTGATAAAGTGATGTGTGTTTTTTGTACAACAAAACAAAAAACACCTTTCTATAAAGGCAAGTCAACATCCAGCTGTACCCCTTACAGTTTGATTGAAGTCCAGAATCCCATTTGAACCCATTTGACCCTGCCATAGCGAGGGTGTTGTGGTCTGCTAACAAAGCCATCAAACACGGAGGCTGGGGAGCCGTGCTGTGAAGCGCAGTGAAGCAACGCCTTGATGTTTTTACAGAAATAACATAACTGGGGCAGTGAAATACAGTGCCCTTTTCCCTCTCCTTCAACCTCCGCTTCCTTCATCCTCCATTTCCCTCACTCCCCCCTTCCAGGGTTTACTGGGTACCGAGCGGTGTTGCCTGAAACCCCACAACACTTTCACACATTTCAGCTGAACCTGTCATTCCTCAAACTGAGAGCCAAAAAAAAAAAAGACAAAAGACATGGAAACCAGCAGTTATGAGCTTTTTAGACCATTGTGGTGAGACAGCTCAGGACAGCTGCCTTTAGTTCTGTTATAATCAATGTCCTTCACAAGGTGCAGTTGCACTTTCAACTTAAGTGAAAATGTGAGAACAAAGAACTGAACAACTGAAGCTCACAAAGTGCAGCTGAACCAGATGCATTCGAGGCAAAAGATCGAGGAGGTACAGATCAGAGTTCTTTACAAATGATTTAATCACTCGTTGCTAATTGATTTCTATTCAGAAAACCCTCCCATAAATTACCAACACACTAAGTCATACTGTCAGGGCGACAAGCTAAACTTTCACAAAATTAAATACATTTTTCAATCCTCATTTAACCAATACTGTCAGTTCCCAGCTATGGGAAAACATGTGTTCGAAGTCCCGCTTGTGTGAACGGCACAAAATGAAACCTGAGCTGCAAGCAGAGCAGAACCACAAGGAGCCTTTGACATAAAGAAACGCACTATCACGCCAGCTGGCAGTAGCCTATGAACACCTGCCTGCACACAACTGAAGATGTACAATTTAGATTCCCGCTAAAGTATCAGAAGTGGTTTCAGTAAAGCAATGAATTGGCAGAATAAGATAAAAAAGGATTTCCCTTATTAGAACCAGTAGAGAAAGTGAGGCAATTTAAAACATCAGAAGGAATTCAGCCTGAGTGTAAAGACCAGACTACTAACTCTTGTCCTTGTTGGACCCCTCTACAGGAGAAAAGGGTGAGCAGAATTTAAAAAGCAAAGTGAATAAGCGTGACAATAAAAGCTTCTACGGAAGCTGAACATCTACCCTGCCGCAGGGGTTTACAGACAACGTGGTTCTATTATTTCCCTTTTTTCCCCTCCAAAAAAAGCCTGTCCAGACCATCCTGTCTCCATGGACGACTTCCTTTATTACTCAGAGCTAGCTGAGGGCCCAGATGTTCCTGCCATTGAAATAGAAAAGAGAAATTCTGCAGTTGCAACTGTCTATGAAGCTTTTCTCTACATTGTGATGCAGCTTGATGCCTCCCTTAGAAGCAGCTAAAACAATACACCTGGACACTAACAGGTTGCATGCTTCTGACTGCAGAACCCACAGTGCCTGCCAGAGGTCGCTAACACACTGCACAGTCCAACAACATCACTGACCAAGTGGAGCTAAAGCCACTGGGCCTGATTATAATCAAAGTATTTGACCTGAGCTCAGAACATTTGAAGAACACATAGTTTTTTGGAGCAAAGAACCCTTAGAGGCTTCACTGCTGCTTTCTGCCGACAGAGTACTTCGTCCTGAACAGCGTGACCCAGAATGAAAAGCAGCAGCAAAGCTTTCACACTCTGTGCTGCCTGGCACCTGGTGGTGCCTATTCTACATGGATAGTCATGATCCAGAGCGCTGCCTTATGCATGTCAGCATACCTTATTCCGCCTCGGGATCAATGTGAAGATAACTTACAAAATGACTGCTGCTGGGCTGGATCCAAACCCTGTCTCTCCTGCAGTTTTCTATCTGTATCGCTGATGTGAGCTTCCGAACAGAGTCAAGGATGCGTCTCTGCAAGCACGATGTAGCTTCGAGCTGAACTGCACCGAGGCGGCTGTGGCTCAGAGGTAGAGCGGGTCTTCCACTAACCGGAGGATTGGCGGTTCGATGTTGATCAATGTCCAGTTTGCATGTCGAAGTGTCCTTGGTCAAGACATAAAAACCCCAAATTGCTTCCAAAGGCTGTGTCATCAGTGTGTGACGGATAAGATTAGAATCTGATGAGCAGGTGGCATCTTGTATGGCACCCTCTGACACGTATGTGAATGAATGTGTGTGTGTTAATTGGTAAATGTTGACATGTATGTAAAGCATGTGTGTAAAGCGGTCGGAATACTAGAAAGCAGATACCTTGGGCCAGACAGCTTAATATGACATGACTGTCGTGATGCTGTGTCATGTGTAGTTAGCAGGAAAATAACATGTTCATGACCAATCAAACATATGTTTGAAAACTTTTTTTTGACATGACTTACACAACATAACAGCAACAGGGCTCTTTAAGATGCATACTTAAAGAAGAAGGCAAATTATTGCTGGCACTCAGTATTCTTGCTGACACTTAGTGTGTGACCTTAGTGACCACATACTGTGAGGAAATTCTGGCTGCTTTTCCATGTGTTTCTGCAGTCCTTTTTGTCCAAAATTATTTATGCCTATAACCAATTACTGGTCCAGGCATCGCTGGAGGTCATGCAGGTTATGTCCCTAAGATTTAAGTAATAGGGCTTGTGTCTGAGCATTTGTGTGTGTGTGTGAGAATGCGTAAGGGGCTATTTCCTGTAGTCACCCACCCCTAGGTTTGGAGGTATTTGGACAGGAAGCACACCCATACCAGAGCAGCAAGTCAGCCCTGAACAATCTGTGACTTAGTCCCAGGAGCGCGTTTCCTGGCCGAGCTATTGTCTTTTCTGTTACAACACCCTGGAGCAAACTGGGAAATATCCACAACTACCCACTATAGAGGACCAAGGCTGTGTGACTTGGCCTATTCTATCTCATTCTTTAATACATCTTCATATCCTGACTTCAACCTTATTCACGACTCTTGATTAAACAAAGTGGACGCAGTGATTGCAGTTTGATAGGGTAAAGACAGAATTAGGCCATCCTGAGGCTGCAACTACGGGCTGGAAACATGGCGGAATTTCTCACCGGCTCAGATGTGGTTGGAAGCAGCAGCAGTGGGGCTCTCTCTGGTTCGCCTGCGACAGCCTGTCAAACAGAGAAAGAAAAACAGGGACCGAGAATGACTAATGAGATTAAATCAACTGCTAATTGTCAAAAAGAAGATCACAGAACAATAATGGCACGCAAGGCTAAGAAGTGGGCTATTAAAACGTCAATGTTTGGAGGATGACAGAGTTATTTGATGTGTTGTATAAATTACGTGAGCTTGTGAACGACAGCGCGCCAGAGTGGAATAGTGAGTGCTGTTCGACACCAACCCCCAAAACAGCTGTGAGTGGTTGAAATGAATGTTAAAAACATGTCCATTGAACACAACGCTGAAATAACAACCAATGACACACAAGGCCAGAGGACTATTACACAGCCTCCTTCCTCATGGGGCAGGGCCATTACCACCGACCACAAATGTAGCATCTGGACAAATCTTTGCCGTTGGAGATGACTGAACTGTCAGGAAAATTATAGACCATGCCGCAGCACTTGCGGAGCATGCCAATGATGCTATTCCCGACCACTACGGATATGACTAACTGTCACAACATCAAATAGTCTAACAGCCTGATAATCGTAGTCACAGACAACTAATTTAGACGCGCTGAAATGAGAACATCACAGCATGTTTCATACATTATTTAACCTATAATGAGCATAGCAGTGAGCCGTGTTCATGAATAAGTGTCTACGTGGATACTGCAGGTTGACGGTGCAGACCAGACCAGATTCTGTCGTATGATCTCACACTAAACCACAGACCACTGTGTGTGCTGCGACAGGGTCTGCATCAGACATTCTGCTTTCATGTGGAACTCTGCAACAAACGAGTCCAAAAGCAGAACCTGTGGCCTCTGGCGGCGGAGAGCGTGTCTAGAACCTGCAGGCTTTTCCACTTGCAGCACTCATTGAATTTCTGGACAGGCTGGCACACCACCACAAATTCAGGGTAGGTGAAGCGGGTAGGCAGGGAAAGAATGAAACAAAGGAGGAAATGTTAGCAAAGTCAACAAATCATTTGTTTTAATTTTCCGTTGTGGCTTCAGAACTACAATGTTGTGGGGTAGAAATAATAAGGCCGGGGACTCCCATCAACGTCTTCAATCTTCCATGTGTGATGAAAAAGAAAAATGTTTTCTTTTACTCAAAGAACAATGAGGGAATTACGCCCGACTGCTTTTGTTTTTGGAGCCAGTACTTAGCAGACCTTTGAGAACAACATCCAATCTAGAATCTGTGAGCCTATTTATGAGGGGCTGCGGGGCAACATTTGATTTAAGATCTGAATGAATTACGAAACTTCACTCTTCAATACACTCCGCCACGCTGATATTTTCACTTTTAAAATACGTCTTTGTTGAATATCTGAGATTGAAGCTTGAAGTATAAAAGGAAAACAACGTGTTCACTGGATTTGGCATTCACAGTGAAATGTGTGATAAGAATGACCATTGAGTTTGACATGGATGCTTGTAGAGTTGGATTCATTTCATGATACTACCAGCTCTCTGGAGGGAAGTTGGATCCCCTAGCTCTCAGTATAAATGGGTACAGTAGGCAGGTCTGTGGGATATTCCCTCGAGGTTTCAGCTGCTTGTGATGAAGGCAAGAGCGTGAGAAGCTTTCAATGTATTCTTAGTATCTCCCTTCCTCCATCCACTCGATCCTTGGAGCGCACCTCGTGTTTAGGCTGTGCCCATCAATCATTTATTTTTCCACTTCTCTGTGACACTGGAGTTTGCCAGCAAGATTTCACAACACTTAGGCTACTTAAAAAATAGAGTATGAATCTGAATATCATATCACATTTCTATACAAACACAGCAACATGCAGATGTAAACAAGGAACTAAAACGTCAAAATAAAATAGTATGAGGGAAAATAACCATTTTGATAATCTATGAAATCATTGAAATCATTTCTAAAGCACAAACACAAAACTATTTTGTGTTTGGATACGACATTTGATTGCACTGTTGTGCTTTAGGTATTGTGATCGGCCTTTGTTCCTATTGTAACTAACATGTTATAGACAAAATAAATCAATAATCAAGAAAAGAAGTCGGCAGATTCATCAATAAGGAAGATTACAATTAGTTGCAGCCCTAACACATTTACTCTGGGCTAGGTTTTGAGTCAGACTCACCTAAACCTGGTCTTGGACTTGACTTGGATGCCTGGTTGCAGTCCTAACAAACACATTGATCAAGTCAAATGGTGAAATAGTGATATCTACAGTAAAATGGTAACCAGAGAGAAACATGGCTTCCATTTAGCTGCCTACAAGTGCATACGATTAGAGTAAATCTGGTCATTGTGTAATGCGGTCTTGTGGTCACAACAGAGGATCTGCCTGTCTGCCTGCCTTCTCCCCTGCTTTGCCAAACTATCTGCATCCAAGCCTGCCTGAATCCCTGTGTGCCCCCTAGCCTGCCAGCACATCTGTGGTTGGTAAGGACTGAAATTTCCCCCTGAGAAAGGACTGCAGTGCGGCCAGACTGACCTTGACAGCTCTGTAGCTTCGGGTTTAGTCCACGTTCCAAACAGGAAGACTGAATCAGAGATAAAACTCTATTTATATTCTCCCCGGCAGGCATCCTGATCAGATCATCAAATATGATCACACAAAGAGCTGCTGTACGGGGGGACATGATCTCATGCATAACACAGCCATTTTTTTTTTTTTTTCATACACTGCCCTCCAAGATGGGAGAGATTGGTCTGTCGTCAGACACCGAGTACTCTTCCCCAGACGGCAATAGTCATAGCATTTGGCAGCTTTCAGCACTCGCATGACCGGCACACAGCACAACTTACATCAATTACTGGGAACTTTCTTTCCATAAATAATTGATCGCGATGCAGAGAGCACAACCAGACAAATAAGATTACAAGATACAGCAATGCACTTGCATCTCAGAACATATGGCCTGCTGGAAGGGATATGCCGCAGTGGCTTTACTCAGCTTGTCTAATACAGCCATGCGGGTACGCTGTATGTCTTGTTCATGCAGGAGAAGATGATCTCTGAAGCCCCGGCCATGCAGCCATCAGTGTGTGCGTGAGGGAGTGAGAAAAATCACACGGTGGGGGTTACAGCAGGTCAGGCTGTTGAACAGGAAATAACTAATAGAAGCCAGAAGCCACTCATGACCTCTGCAAGGAACAACAGACCTGAGAGCCTCGAGGTGGACTGACATTACCTTGACCTGTTTGGTCCAATCCAAAACTTCTCAATGTGAAAGCCCTCAGTCATACTGGTGCGTCACCCAGCATTATGTTGGCCTGCTGCAACGCTACTATGTTTCTATCAAGGCCTTCAGGATCCAACATTTGTTCAACAAGGTAATGCAGCACTGAGAGAACATTCACACAGATGTTACTGATCAACAGACTGCATACAGCTCACTGGCTGGTCTAGACATCTGCATGCAATCAATTTGAAATCTCACAGATTGTTCAGGAGACTACATGCAAGAATGACAAGTATGTTTGGTAACCTGTTGACGTGTTAGAAAAATGACTTTTGATTCAGAATTAGTGTGCAAAAGTGGACCAATTAGCATGGGATAAGGTGAAATATAAAAGGGTTTATTAACAAATAAGCTGTTAAACCAGAAAAGGAGAGAGATTTCAAAAAGAACGTACTATAAAATTGTGAGTGTTGTGTCTCTCTGTCTTTGTTAACATGATCATTTATTCGCTGCAAAAACGTCTTGATGACTGCGTGACTCAACAACCTCCAAATGTACCCACAGATATATTAGTGTACAAAATTATATGATTGTAGATTCTTGTGGTGTATAATTATTAACTTTTCAAACTTGCCTCATATGCACAAAGTGACATTTTAAAGTTCATATTTCATAGCAAAGCAAAACATGTAACAGCAAAGTGCTCTTATTGGAACCTGTTACGATCTATTGAAATGCCAAACACAAGCGCGGATAAGTTCAACACTAAGTAGAGTGATCATATTTAATTGATTGCTATGTGATTTGCTTTTGTGCAGTAGAAAGTTACTGCTATTTTACAATATTATGGTCATCTGTATAATGCTCAATATCATAAAGGAAATAGTTGCTTCATCAGATAAAACACAACAGAATTGTATTGTAAAAGAAAATGTTGGCCTAACTAGTATTTTTCACTGATTCATAACCAATCAATCGAAGATGTTAATTCTCAGTATTTACCATTAAAAACTAAATAAAATACCAGATTTAAAACAGAAGTGAGCCCTAATGAGAACACAAAAGTGATACGGCAAATAAAAAACACACAGATCAAAACATTCTTTTGGAAAACAGTTAATTAACAGCAGCTGCAGTTTGTTTGTTGCAAACATTGTCCAGGTTGACAACCTGTCTGATATACATATAGAAAGATCATCACAGATATACTGCATTGTACCTGCGTATAAAGGAAAAAAGGTATATAGTTTAGAAAAAACAACAATGATTTAGGATTTTCTTGAACATGCAGGGCCTCTAACAGATTTTATATGCTGGTTATATGTAGTGTGTGCCATTTCTAATATAAAAACAGTAAAAAATATAAGACTGCTGGGACTCACATTGACTTGAGCTGATGATGCCTCAGAGTTCAATACATCTTGACTTGTTTGTATGATGACACGGACCTATAATTCACATAACTATGAATGCACTGGGCATACTAAGCAGCTAAAAGGAATTTGCATCCATATTAAAAAGTGAGCCTAGGCAGTAGTAGTAGATGGCAACATGTATGCACACAGCGATGAGAACTGCTATTGGTTTCACAGGACATTACCAGTTATCTTGAGTCAGGAGAAGACAAATCTTAAGTTAAGGGATTATCACGGCGCACTGATTACCCTTGAGGGACAGGGAAGTTGTTGAAAAAAGCTCACACTAACAAGCTTGTGTATCACGCCTCGACCACATCCTTCAGTCAGGACTACACTAGGACTGTGACGCTAACGACAGCCCGACTGTGCCACAAACGCAATCATTGGAACAAACCTCAGTCAGCAGTGGAAACTGGGTTTGACAGGGGAACTATTGTGCAAAACTCAACGGTGCTGCGTCTTAAATGACACCAGTTGTGTTGTTTGATTGTGAATAGCAGTTAGTAGGCTCGTTAGAGATGAACTGCGCCTCGCAGAAAAATAGGATTTTCTACAAAACGTGGTGTTTGCTGTCAAATCTAAGGGCCAATCAGCTCTTTGATCAGGCGACAGCCAGAGCGTTTCCCATCAGGCTTTGGGTCATGCAGTCGGTGGAGAGCAACTGCAGCGTCTGGCTCTAAAAGCTGCGGCCGCCTCGATCTCGTGAGGTTATCGTTGCCGACGTGTCGGGAGTCGGGATTCAAGTCCGACACAAATCTAACCGGCATGCATTGTGCGCCGATTGATTCTGCGCAGGACTGGCTCATCTCGAACGAGCCTATTATCACAGTTTGGCTGTGAAACAAGAGGTTAATGGAAACATCTTTTTTCACCATACATCCACTTACATGAACATTATATGAATTAGTCATGAGAAATACACACATGGATTTGCCTTTGAACAGAGGGAATAAACATTTGTTCGCATGAACTTATTACTTGGGAAGGAACGATCTGTGCTTGGTACATGATTAGCATGGAAACTGTATGAGAAATATTACAAAGTTAATGATAATAATAACACCGCACGCACTCCTGTATTTATAATCTCTTCTCAGGCTTCAAGGTCATGATGGAAAGTACCTCTGATTTACAATTAGACAGGCCCGCCTCCCAAAGGAGCCAATGTCATGCTTACAGTACCGTCAGTCCCCACGAACTCAAACACAGACAGCAGCAGTCTGTCTGTCTGTCACGTTGTTTACAACTACATCTTCTTGAGAAGAAACCTAATAAGCCAATGCAGGAAATATGTCAAAGCTAGTCAGTGGCTTTAATACAGATAAGTCATATTTGCTCAAATTATCACTATAACTTGACAGTAGTACATGAGACAAAAAAGCAACAATTACTGTTTTCAGAATCATATTTTAGTTTACCGTTTTGCTGTAAAATGAGAAAGTTTGTGGCCGCCATGTTGAAAAATAATAGAGCTAAATCCGCTCACTGACCGGAGCAAACGTTCTCACTTTCCAACTAAACCGTTCAGTACTCTATGTTTCTGAAAACATTCAAGGGGTTTCCTAGTTTGACAGAGTTCACAAGCTTCACAAGCAGTGATTGACACCGCGTTAGAGGCTCCTTGACTCTGATTGGTTGGTTTTCTTCGGGCGCAGTAGAATCTTGCAAATGACATTAGGAGCACTACATAGAGGCAGAGTGACAGTTTGAGCAAATACGATAAGAAATGGTATTCATTTAGGTTACTAACTGCAGCTTGAAGAGTTACACAACACAGCATTACTCTGTCTGCTGCATTGAGACAATAACAAGATGTCATTCAATATGAGCTGTAGCAGTCAGAACCTGGACCAGCAGCTGAGAGCTTCAGTCAGTCAGAAAAATGTAACATGAGTACAGTGTCTAAAAGAACAATACTCGTGGAAACACGGCTGTAAAATCTCTCCATCCAGAACTTTCACACAGTTCAGGCAGAAACTAGTGTCAACCTGCATGACCTCCTCTCCGAAAAGTATAATGCAGATCTCAAAATCTCACCTACGCTTCAGTGTCATCACACCCACAATGAGTACATTCACACAGTTCACTCTGTCCCACTTGCAGGCCCAATCCTGAACCCTGAAAACTGCTCTCAGAGTGAGCCGAGTATAAGCCCATTCAGCATGCAGGCTCTGGGGCCGTCTCATTTGCATGTAAAACGGGATCTCTCAAAATATGTGAATGCGTGTGTCAAACAGGCTCAGTGGGCAGGGGAAGAGAGGTCCCCTGTTACCGCCCCCCAGTGGCGCTTGGAGAGACGACGAAGAGAGAGGGAGGGAAGAGGTTCACAGGTCAAGCAGACTGCCCCATTTCAGCAGATGCCAAGCAGTTCGTGGGCCAGGACTGCGAGAACAAGAACCTCCTGTGTGCACAACAGTCCTGCCAGCAACACCATCGCCCTACAGGGACGTGTGACTCTGGCTTTTATTTATCATGCAATGGAATTTTTCATGGATTTACACAGTACGTCCAAACCCAAACATTCAGATTTCCATCACATACGGCAAAGCAAAGCAGAAAATCCTCACAATTGAGAAGCAGAGTTTGATCATTGTGCAAATGGCTTAACCCTCTGAGACCAGCTGGATCACCGGCAAACCCGTGCTGACATTACTGTCTTTAAGAGGCTGCTGGAATACAATACTCTGGTTCGTTGCCCCGAATCTAAATGCATCACTACCTCTCAAAATAGCACTCATTCTGAGATTTGAATGTATCCACTTCTGCATTTCGTACAATCAGCAATCAACAACATAGTCTGTAAACAATTGAAAAGGCTGCAACGTATACAACACAATATATTACAGCTTCTCAAATACCATTCCCTTTTGAGACAGGCATGAGACCCCTAGAGATGTGTCAGGTGTTCAGGTGTCCATGCTTCGGGGGTTGGACTTATGTCTGGGTGATACAAGTTAATACGAAAAGTTCATTTATGAAAACAAAGACGTGTCAGTTTTTTCGGGTTATGGGTACATTCAGCCATGTGGCAGCTGGGAGATGTCTGTTAAATCTTAATTTACAAAAAGATGGTCAGGTTTGTTGGAGATTTACAAAAATCTACTTGACATTCAATGACATGGAATTACACTTTATCAATATAGTAGCACATTTTTTTTGTATCAACTAATTATTTCAACCGTAGTTAGATGTAATGAGCTTAGAAATGAGTAACATATCAATTCCTTTCTAGGGAGTTTATTGCATAGTATGGAAGTCCTAAAATAGCATGTTATCCAGAGTTCTGTGCATACACAGAATTCTGTCTCTTTGATTAAACAAGAGCTGAAGACAAGAGCTGTCAGAATTTGTGTAGCTTATCTCCACATGCATTTCAGTTTGTTCACACAGAAATTGCGTTTTGTCCCCTTAAAGGCGGAAATATAAAGCATTTTGACATTCTATAGCAGGAAGCACCGTTGTAATTAACAACATTAACGATGCCTGCATTCCATATAGTCACAGGCCCTGCTATTACACATCCTTGCTAACTAGCATAACTTACTGAGGCACTGAAATATTTTTAATTAGAAAAGTGTTTTTCCTACTACGACATGTCAAAATGTCTGCAATGTTATGTCCATGAGTAAGCAACATCGAAATTAAAACAAACGTTCCACCACACTGCTCACACTTAGTCCGTTAGCTGCTAGCTAGGTAAGTTAGCCTCGTTGGGGTCAGTTTTGTCCGTCACATGGGATAGCAAACATTTCTCCTAGCTAGGTAACAACACTTGAAAGCTTCCAATTAAATATTATAAACATATTTATCAAACATTGAAACTGTAGTGGAAGGTGTAATGTTCATGGTACAATGTCAATATGATTAGCAAAAAGATAATTTTCTATCCGTCTGCAGTGAACAGTGAGCGTCACACAGAAAAGAAATTGCTGAGAATCTCTAGATGAGCCGCAGCCATGCGCGGCTGTGTGTCCTCTCTAAGCTGTTAACATGGCCGGCAAAATTGAATAAATACTGATTTTGCTAACAATAGTTTTGTTTCAATTGAAATATATTTTTAAAAAAAATGTATTGTGTCCTTTTGAGTTTAACTCAACTAGCCAAAATCTAAAGCTGTCCTTGGAGGGCTTTTGTGGAAACAAAGATGTATGAGTGAGCAATGTGCAGAAAAATGAAATGATTATATATATTTTTCTTTCACTTTTCAAGGTCAGGTTTCTGAAAAGCGGCATGGACTGTCATTTGCAGCCTAAAGTGTGCAAAATTGCTCAGTGAAGCTTTCAACAACATGCAATAAAATGTGCTTGTTTTATTAAGCGAGTTAAATTGTTCGACCATTTATAACCATCCTGGGTAACTGAGCATGGCCTGAAGAAGTCCTCAACCCCCCTCGGCAAAATGGAAAAAAGGTTTCAGGCAGATTTTGGGTTTTATTTCTATTCCCCTCAACACAACACCACACCTATCTAGCTTGCGCATTAAAAGGTGCAATTTGCCGTGCTATATCTGGTTTTTTTGTCTGTAGCATCCCTACATGCTTGGCTGAAGAAACTCATTTTGTAACAACAATATGGAGAAAGTGCCAGTTATTCAACGCAATACTCTGGTTCATTGTCCTGAATCGAAAAGCATTGCTACCTCTTAAAATAGTACTCATTCTGAGATGTGAATGCATTCCTACAAATAGAAGAAACTGAGATATCCATTTCAACACTTTAAAAACCACATAGCCTGAGACCCCTAAGGACATATGAGGTGTTCACCAGGTGTCCATGCATCAGGATTTTACAGATGAATCCAAAATCAGGTGGGAAACAAAGTAGTTACATACTTGTGCTTTCACAACCCCCGCCCCCCCATCATTTGAATCACTAGAAAAATCCCCAAACTGCCTGTTGTTTGGCCTATTGTGCAGTTAGTAGACCACAGCAAATACTCCACTCTTCTTATACAAACATGAAATGCTTTGCTTTTGTGCAAATAAAAACAACGCGACAGGAAATTGGGAAACCAATGCAACGGTCTTAACATAACAGTGACATAGATGCATATAAACTGGCTCTAATCTTGGGGAAATGTAACTTATTTATCCCCTATGTTTTCTTTTCCAAAAAAATATCAAAACATGTCAAATGTAAAGACAAGACGAAAAGATCCCACCTGTCAAACATCCACACCAAGCCCTCGTTTTTTGACATCAGAAGGTTAAACTGTCACCTGCTCTTTGGAGCGTCAAACTCGTCAAACTGTGTGTCCTGTCCCTGAGTTCCGAGGCGACGTGTGAGCTCAGAAGTATAGCTTAGCAAAAGGATCTGCTTGCAGCCCTTCATTGGGTATATAAACATGTGTCACTGATCAACCTATTAGATTCTCTCTCTGTGTATTGGTCTCAGATTCTCAGATTCATGCTTACATTCTCTTCACGCGTCTTCATCAAAAGCACATGCGTACATGTGGACGAAAATAAAAACGATCTGTCCTCGGTTTGTTCTTCTTACATGGAAACCTTTGAAGACACACGAGTACTTCCTGCTACCTATCATCACTTTTCGGGGTCATACAAGGACATCCATGTTCAGCTGAGCAAGTCGGAGAAAAATGAACCACGCGAGCGGCTTAGTGAGGCTGCATTTAAAGGACAATGTGTAGGCTTTGGTGGAATCTAGCGGTGAGGTTGCAGATTGCATCCGTCTGAATACCCCTCTGCTCAGTCCTCCCTTTCCAAAACTACGGTAACGTGAGGCGTCGGGTGCAAAATGGCGGCTGATGGGAATGTCATTAGTGTTGCAGGTATTTGACTATAAACCAAAGGTGTGGACAAATTCAAACTCTGACCTATTGGTGGCGCTAGATGTCAGTCATTAGAATTTATCTTCTAGGTTGGTTAAATATCTGCCAAATTTCATGGTAATCCATCCAATAATTGTCAAGAGGTTCACAAACATTGGTAGGACTCATCCTCTGGGGACAATGAGTAGTTGTACAGATATTTCAATCTGGACCACAGTGTAGGACAGACATTGCCGTGCCTAAAACCACACCGCTGGGATGGCTAAAAACACACTCATAGTACAAGTTTATAAAAGCCTCCGTAGGATCAGATATGAAGAGCCTCCATGAGTGGATGATTGCACCACTCCAACAACTTGACAGAGGCAGTCAACCGGCAAAAAAGGTGCAGAAGTGTGTAGGATTTCAACACATGTTCAGCTTGCAATAGCATGACATGAATACAAATCAGAGTAAATTGAAAAGCAGATGACCCATGAGACGGGAGCCTATATTCCGCTGATGGTACAGACTGGCCAGAGAAAACGCAGCATGTGTGGCTCCAGACGCTCTGAAATAACTACATCCAATGTATTTTACGTGCATTGAATGAATCATTAAAACGGAGCATTTTGCAGTACAGGGGAAGTGTGTTGGCAGGTTGATATAGAGAACGACAACGACACATGTTTCTGCCACAAACTTGAATTTAGTATTTACTGAAGAAACACCCTGGTGTTGATGATCTTCTTATTGTGGCTTTTATTTAGCAGCCTACTAAAGGTTTGTGCATGCATAGAGCATTTGCATTTTTGGAAATGAGGGTTCCTTTCATTCACTATTATATTTAAAGTAACTTACACAAGATTCTTCTCTTCCAATCCATCATCCTTCCCAGATTCATCGTACGTGGAACAAAAGGGGCACGTACTCTTACAAAGGAGCTGTATGGATGAGATGTAATGACTTCCAGACATGTTTAGTAACAAGTGGGTGCATCACGTATCACTGACCTCGCCCCTGACTTGATTCATCACTGATGAAAGGAAGAGCCGGGTTTCAAGACAGCATGTCACAGATGAAGTGGCCACTTAGCATCTAAAGCAGAGCGGATCATGTTCATTTGGGCGTCAGGGATTACTGGTTTGATCAAATCTCGATGGGTGGCAGTACAGGTAGGCCTTTCATCTGCAGCCTTTAATTTGAGGGGGTAACATTTAAGATGTTATTTTGTCTTTTTAATTTGCAGTATGAAGTCACACAAATGTCAAAGGACAGAAAACAACTTACTATTTACACATGTCTGTGATTTTTGTGCCCCAGACAGCAGGATGCAAAACAGCCACATTGCTAATCTTCAGAATACTTGAGCAGATGTCCAGCGGAACAAGCAACAGCTCACGTACAGTAGTTCACACAACCCTGAGGACACAAAATGTTCACAAAAACAAAATGTTCCTATTGAGAAGCCAGTCTTGAATTCCCGTTACAAACCAGTCTGTTGTAAACAGGAGAGCATTGCCTTGAAAGAGGATTCGAAGAGAGGAAATGTGAATGGCTGTGATTGATGCCAACCTCTGTCATATCTGATAATAGTGTAACAATTTCAAAACAAACTAACGCAACTGCAGTGCGAATGCTTCTAGTAAATAAATGAATACAAAATGATATTCTGCCATCCAATCAAATGAGCTGGTGTTGTCCCTACTGCTAAACACTGAGTCACAGAAGGGGAATGTGTGGGATGCGAGTCTAATGTAAAGTACATAATGACAAAACAAAAGTCCTGTAATAAATAGTACCTTTGTAAATTTTGTCAAAGAGTAATGTTTAATAACATATCGTAAAGTATATTGATAGGCTTATCATCTCTGGCGGTACATGGCCCACAATTTTGGGCTGTGTCCACGCCCACAATACGATACTTAACCACCCTTAAGTCTTATTAAATGAAGATATTATAGCAGAGTATAAAACTATTCCAACCATACCCCTGTTTGTAATTTGAAAACATAAATAAAGATGTCATAATAAGCTACTGTGAGAGTTACAAGGCAGCACAAAATGTCATATCCATAGACTGTGTTGAACAAGTGGGTGAAGACCGTGTCACCCACTGGTTTGTGGACTACGGTTTTGAAGCCTTGAGTTGAGCATTTCGACAACTCCCAGACCTGACAACACCCTGGTAGCAACCTGTCAATCATAAAGGTAGCCACGCCCTAAACCACACTCTGCTTTGTGGTCTATTTTACTCTAAATTGAACCATAATTTATTATATGAACATCATGTTGTATTGAAGAAGACTTGAAACCATGTTTACTGAGGAAATAAATCAAGTGAGAAGTAGAGTCATTTCTCATACTTCCATACAAACTGACTTCTTTTTGCAACCAGAGGAGTCGCCCCCTGCTGGCCATTAGAAGGAATACAAGTCCAAGGCACTACCGCATTGGCTTCAGTTTTCAGACCCGGGGGTTGCTGCTTGGTCCGAACACACCGCCTCTACTTGCTTTTTACTTTTAGATGTACCGTGACCTTTTCTCACACTTCTCACAAGCTGCCGGTATTTTCTCATCACATTCACTCTCTCGCTCTATCGCTTTACCACACACTCGCCAAGCACACTTGACGCAACTCTTAAACCAACGACATTATATGTAAACAGGTGGATTGCATTTAAACCAATGCAATGCGGGACAGGGGGGTGCTGGACCCCCTACTTCCATCAGCAAAGTCTCCTAGTATCTTGTATTTGCTAGAAGGTCAGATGGCTCAGATGATACTGTTCAATAAACACAGAGACATATGAATAAGGGGAGTACTTGCACTTATTCCTTTCCACTTCACGCATTGCTCCTTTTAGACAGCTGAGGGTTCCACAGATGTGACACTCATTGTTTTCCTAATCTGCCTTAAATGTGTTCAAAGGCTAACTAAAAAAACTGTATGCATTTGCATCTTTGTTTCCTATGTGTCCGTTATGAGAGACAAATTCTAGAGAAATCTCCAAAAAACAAAGACAGTAATGTAATGTAATGTAATTGTTCAAAACACCCCAAAACGTCTGTATGGTTAACAGCTGAGACTCTTGTTCTTTGTCCCTTTTCCCAGAGCATGACATCACCTGCACTGAATAAACTGTCACATTTTATACAGTGCAGTTATACGGTTAAAAAGCTGAAAGCGGAGACATTACACGTATAGTGTTACTCAGATATTCCCTGATCAAAGTCCTGTTTATAGTCACTGGAGCCATCCCTCACACATAAAGGAGCAGAATAATAAGGTCCACCCATTCCTGGACTGGTTACAATCATAGACATTAATAGGGTTTTTAAACAGGCAGCAAGAGTTTAATACAGGATATAGACCGTCAAATGAAACAGAAATCTCTTCCAAATTTAAAGCAACTTAACACAAATAAAATCGACACCGTCCCATCAAACACAAGTATGAAGCAAGTATGTGAGGCATTCTCTTCCAAAGGAAACTCTACGCCACAGCTCTCAGCTCAGCTGTGACAGTCACTGGTTGGGACTGAAAGTCATTCATGGGTATGGACATATAGGCCATATCTAAATCCTGTGATTCAGCAACACAAATGTGCCATTACTAAGAACCAGGTGCTCGCTTTCTCCTCCCGACAAATCTAAAAGAATCTAAATAATACTAAATGACAGAAAAGTAAAATGTCGGAGGAGAGCAGCGGTTGCACCACTGCTCAACATTAGTAGAAATAAGGCCCCCGGTTTCAACATAACACGAGGGTTAACTTATATATTGCAGTATATTTTTTTGTATAATTTACATCAGTATCTGTTCCCATGTTTTACCGTCTCTCATCGTGGAACTACATTTTCCAACATCAAATTTGTAAGCGTTATCCACACATTACTCTCGGTAAATGCTCTTAGATAAATGTTTTAAAGATGTGAAGCTCTTTATGTCTCCGCCACGGGTGGCTCCTGGCTTAGAGACCAGATACAAAAAAAATAAAAAATACAACACATCAGCTCGCCAACACAGACAAAAGGCAATAGCTACACAGGAGAGGAAGCCCTGCTGGCTAAAGTCAACAAGTCTGACATTACAAATCCCGCCCTGTGCTGACACAAAACTGCACGAGACAGCAGCAGTCAAAACCTCACTTCCACATGTCCATTTACTGCAAAGACGGCATGCATGGATGGCATCTGTACTCCAACATGCATACGCCGGGTTTATGGCAAAGTATGGCAGGGTCAAACTAAGCAGGAGTGCCTACTGCACAAAATAGACTTGACTGTAAACAACCGCACGGTCAAAATATAGGCACAGAATGTGCTGCTCGCAGTGTGTATATACGGCCGGGAGTAAGATATCCGATCTGCATCTCATGAATGCACAGCTTGAGCAGGGCACGTATAAAAATGGGTAGACGGAGATAAGGACCACGGGCTTCTCTGGCACAAGATGCATGGTCAGAGTGAGTCATGGCACCCGCCGGTCAGCAGCACAGAACCAGTGATATCTCACAAAGACAAAGACAGCGATGCACGGCCCTGCTTTTCCTGTTGCTGATTGGCCCAGAGGGAAGAAGTGATTAAAGTGGCAGAAAGGGGTGGGGAGTTAGAGAGATACATGTTGATATAGCAGCACAGCTTATCCATTGTGGGGGCTCGGTGGAATGAGATCGGCCCAGCACGGACGGTCCTGGCCCCCCCCCCTCCACCTCGTACCAAAGAATGGGAACTTTCACGAAAGGGACAGCACAGAGAGCAGAGCTCTGTGTGGTGAGGAAGTCAAAACACAGTCGGAGGCTCACATTGCTGCTTTTGTTTACCACCGCAGAGAATCAGCCAGTGGGTCCCAGCAGGAAAACTCTCGACAAAGGTTATGTTTATTCCCTGGTTCAAAATAGTCAAGAGAAAGTTTGCAACCGTTGATGTCAGTCGACTGTGTGTTGGTTTCATTATGTAAACCGAGGCCTCGCTGAAGAGCTGAACACAATGCAGCTGACTGCTTAAACCACTCACTCTTTCGTCCTTTGAGTGTTGTTGGCGGGTATACGGCATGTAGACATAACTGGGAAACGAATCCAACAGTTAAATGTCTAGTCCACTGTGAGTGCTTGTTTGTTATGAAATAGGTTACGGTAGATTTGTAGATTTCTACTGTTAGAGGACAACCAATGAGAAAACTCGCCCCCCCAAAAGTTTGTGAAATTCAGTAGAAAATGTACATATTTCTTCTAAGCAGTGGGCCATGCTGGGGGGCACTGACCCCGTGCCGTGAGAGAAGCAGGAATGTGGGGTCAGCCGGTGGAGGACCTCTCTCTCTCTCTCGCTCTCTCTCTCTCGCTCTCTCTCTCCCCTCCCATACACCAGAATAGACACGATCCACAGCATAACCACCACAGTACGTGGGGTAAAAAAAGAGCTGCTGTTTTGATACGGCCCCACTTGACTTTGTTGTTCAGTGTCAAAGGTGCATTTCTTCCTTCATAAAGTGTCTCTGTGACTTCCACGATTCCCTCAAGGAAGTGAGGGATATTAAATCTACCCAAAAGCATGTGATAAATCAAAGACAAACAAGTATTTTGTGCCCTAGAGACAATTATTGATGCAATAAGCCAAGACCCACCATGCAACGATGTTAACCCCTAAACACAAAGGCCAAGTCAGGACTGAAAACGACGTCGCTGGCAGCACTGAAGCCTGCAGACGGAGAAGGCTTCTCCTCCACAGCGATCAGGTGTAATTTACATTTCCAGACACTTTAGGTGATGCTCAGTCATAACCAAACAAAAGCACGGTGATTAGGCCCCTCCGAGCGTCTGCGCTCAAACACACAATGCTGTACGACGCCGAAAAGACAATCAGGGAGGAACTCCGGCGACGAGCCCATTGTTGAAAGAGTTTCATTCAGCTGTTGCCTCTGAAATGACTGAGAACTTAATTCTGTGATTCTTGACATTCCTCCATGGCTCACGTGATACAACTTATAATGTAACTCGTACCAAAAACTGTGTCGGCTCTGAATATGCAATTATACGGGGCAGAATAGATTGAGTAGACTGATGAGGATAAGAGGAAAGTGTTTGTCACACTTCAAGCTCACATTGAAAAGCTTCTTAACATGTGACAGACTCATGAGTCCCTGACAAAAATATGTAGCCTATATCCATAAAATAACAGTGGCCTAATATTATAGTCTTAACAGGAGTTCATAAAGGATTTTGAAACCACTAAATACTCAAAAGTCAGTTCTACAGTCACTCTATGACCACATACAGCACAGTGATATTACAGGAATATTCCAGTAGGCTTGTTAAAATACCGGAATGTCACTACAAATGGGCTGCCACGCTCTAATTCGCCTACTACTACTACTATTATTATTATTATTATTATTATTATTATTATTATTATTATAAGGACATTAACTTGCGGTTGATTCCATTTTTTTTCAGTCACAGATGTAACATGTTGGGGCTGCTGCAGTAAAAAAAAGTTAATAAAAGTTAACGTTGGCTACATGATCATACAGTGAATATGGGACCCCACCGTAGACTACGATGTCATCACGTTACGCTGAATATGAGATGTAAACAAACACCGCAACAACAACAACAACAACAACAAGGAGCGTCTCTTACCTGTCAGACCTCCTCAGAAGTGACCGTTCAGTCGCTGCAACCTGTCGCACGACAGAGAACGAGAGCCGACGCTGTCAGAGGGGGAAATCACCGCCACGCGACTTCAGCCCAAAAAACTTTCCAGTCGGACCTATTTTACTATATCGTTCCGCTTCTGTCCTGCCAAAACATATCGCGGACTGCGCGCTTTCTCCACCCCAAAAAAAGAGCCGTATACCTCTCTTGCTGACAACTTTCGGTTGCCCCGCTGAGTCTCTGTCTGGTGATGAGTTGGGAACGGAGTTTTCTGGTTGGTCAAGGAGGAAATGAAGAAGTTTGAGGAAGGAGAAGGAGAAGGAGAAGGGGGGAAGCTGGTGCTGACTCCTACAGGCGCGTCACAGCTCCGGAGGCTCTGCATGGGGAGCTCATAAAAAGTGAAAACCAGCTTGATTTATTGAGATTAGTCTCAGAGGTTGAACTATATTGTATTCATTTGGCAGTTGTGAAAAAGAAAGTTTTGACAGCTGCCCACAGAGACCAAGGTGATGTAAATATTATGGGCAATATGTCATTTACTTATGTAAATATTGCGAAT